ACCTTTCATAACCAGCAGAGTGGCGCAGCGGAAGCGTGCTGGGCCCATAACCCAGAGGTCGATGGATCGAAACCATCCTCTGCTATGAGCACTTCACTTTTCCCTCAGTCTTCAGGCGGTAGTATTCGTAATTTAAATATCGTTAGTACGCGTGAACTTCTTTTCACTTTCTTCTTCGTGGAAAATGAATCCTTTAACAGCTGTTTTTGCCATCAGCAAGATAAAAGGGGTAATAGGGACTTTGGGCAACAATGAACACTGTATGTCTGGGTGTAGTTCACGGAAAGCTACTAACCACGCAGTGAGAAACGGAGTGTGTTGATTGAATCAGAGTGGAAAAACACTAACAGGAAGGGACTAAAAGGGAAACTGAAGTAGCCTTTGGAAAGAGACCTTAGAAAGAAGAAGGAAAGTGGCGAGGACAGAAACCCAGTCCGGTAGCCCACTTTGCCCCCATTTCTCTCTTTCTCACACTACAAACTTTCAGGCGGATTTCACGCTTACACGAGGTTTCACCAGCCACACACACGGATATACTATATTTGCATTAAATTAGTCACATTACTATGTGCTTTTTGTCCCTCCAGAAATCATTTTTCTACCTCCCTTGCCTTCCTTCGCTTTGTTTAAAGTTTATTACTCCTTCCTTGCCTCAGAATATTTTTGTCATCTCAGGAAGTTCCCTCATACCCCTTTGTCCTACCCCTAGAGGCAATCCACTATCCCAATTTCTATTATTATAGATGAGTTTTGTCAATTCCTGAACTTCACGTAAATGGACTCACACTATATGTACTCTTTCTTGGACTAGCTTCTTTTGCTTGACCCTTTTCAAGATTCTTCCATTTCTTCCACGAGGCTCTTCCAATAAACTGCATTTATTAGCAATGTGTTCCTGTTTTTAAAAGTAGTATTCCATTACATAAATAAACCACAGTTTGTTCATCCATTCTCCTAATGATGACCTCAGGACCTCCATCTGGCTAAGACACACATCAGCACATTTAGGTTGTTTCCATGGTGTGGTTATTGAATAAAGCCATGAACATTTTTGTACAAGATTCTTGTGGTCATACGCATTCAATTCTCTTGGGTAGGTGTAGGTGTATACGTGTACAGAATTTAAGAGACATTAATGCTTATCAATTAATGCTCCCACAAAACATTAAAGCATATAATTAAATTAATAGTCATTTAAATTTAGCATTTTTAATGCTCTTTATTCTTTCATGTATCTCCAAACATTCATCTAGGATAATATTCCTTCTGCTTGAGAATTAGTGCCCCTCTGCTGGACTAACTTTCTTGGTTTTGGTTTGTATAAATAAGTCTTTATTTCACCTTTGTTTTTGATAAGATTTTCTCTGGATATGGAATTCTAGATTGGAAGGTTTTTTTCCCCAGCACATTGATAATATTACTTTACTGTCTATGGCTTCCCTTTCTGCTATGAAAAAAAAATTGTAAATCAAATGGTTGCTCCTCGAAGGGAATCAATCCTCTTTTTTCTATTTAAAGATTTAATATTTGATTTAATTTCCTGCAGTTTCACTCTAGTGGGTCCAGATATGGATTTTTTTTTAAACCTTACTTGAGATCTGTTGAACTTGAAGCTGTGGCTTGATGTATTTTTTAAAGTTTCTCAGCCAGTTATCTCTTCAATATTGCTTCTGCCCAACTATGCTCTCCTTCCCGGGAGAATAAGTGTCAGATTCTCACAGTATCCTCTACTCTCTAGCCCTCTCTTTTATGATTTTCATTCCTTTCTATCCATGCTTTATTCTGGGCAGTTTCTTCTCTTTTCTTCCAATTCATTACTCACTCCCCAGTTGAATCTAACGGTGTTAAACCCATCAATTGGTTATTAATTTTTGTTTTTGAGTATATTTTGGTCTGGATTTTCCACTTAGTTCTGGTTCAACCTACTCCTAGCTCTTCCCTAGGAGTGCAGCCTTTCAGGATCCTAACCCAAAACAGGAAGGTGGTTTACCAAGGTTTTAACCTTTGGGGACATTTGGACTCAAATTCTGGACTCACTTGCTCCACACAGCCTGTTTTCTGCCATCAATTCTGGACCAGCTAATGACCCTAAGGGAAAAGCAGTCCAACTGCCGGTCTCACCTCTCTGCTTTCCTGTCCTTTCATGCTCTCACACCAGTAATTCCTCACTGTGATATAGTGAGTCATAAGAAATATATATATGGGCATTCATATGACCAGATATCTACTTTCCAGGTATATTTTTTTGTCTTCATCCACAGTTCCTGAAAACACTGTACAGTCTTAAAGGTAAAATGGGTGTCTTATTGTGCTAATGAGAGACTTTTGGACCCTCACCCATGGGCAGGGGTTGGAGGCTGAAATCAGCCAATGGACAATAATTTAGTCAATCATGACTATTCCGTGAAGCCCTCACAAAAACCCCTGAGTAGTGCTTATTGCCCTCTGCTCACTTGGATCCTGCTTCTCAGTGAGGGAGAGCTTTTATGCTTTTTGAACCAGAACGCCTCCATGTGCCACCGAGCCAGGCCCCAAGCTCCACCAGGATAGACGTTCCTTTACTTGGGACCTTGCCTCATGTATCTCTTCCTCTGGCTGTTAACTTGTACCCCTTACAGTAGCCTTTATTAAACTGGTAAACGTAAGTGTTTTCCTGAGTTCTGTGAGCCTAAGGGGTTCTAGCAACGTTATCAAACCTAAGGGGGAGGTCATTGGAACCTCCCATCTGTAGCTTGTTAGTCAAAAGCACAGGTAACTTGTGACTGGCATCTCAACTGGTGGTTGGAGGGCAGTCTTGTAGGATGGAGCCCTCACCCTAGGGAATCTGGTGCTCTCTCTGCGCAGATAGCATCAGAACTGAGTTGAGTTCTTAGACACCCTGTTGGTATTTGAGAATGCTTGGTGTTATGTGTGGGAAGACCCCCTCCCACATACTTACCACACCTTGGAATTGGGTCCTGGAACCTGAGCAGAGTTATACTACTATTACTGCTGTGTATGATGCTATTATTTTTTCTGTATGTGAAAGAACACATTGTACTGTCTTATGAGTTCTTTGATTTGCAAAAGTATTTCCTCCAACATTTTTTTGTTGTCTTCAACTTGCTGATTGGACAGATTATTCAGCACCATTGTGGAAAGAGGAGCTCAATTACTAAATTAGATTTCTAATCCAGTCTTTCTTCTTAACTCCAGCTCCACTATTCCAATGGTCTATTGGACACCTCCTCATTGGTATCTAAGGCACTGCAAACCCAATAAACTAAAATTATCATTCCTCAAAAACGGTTTATTCAGCTTCTCAACAAATGAGTCCATGTTACCCAGACTTCAATTATTTGTATACTGTCTTGCTGAAGTCCAATTATTCTACTTATAAAACATCTCCTTATAGTCAACAATACTGTTATGCATTTAAAAAGTTAAGAGGGTGGATCCCATGTTAAGTGTTCTTAACATACACAGCCATACACAAAAGGACACACGGAAACTTTTGGAGGTAATGGATATGTTTATTACTCTGACATTGTGGTGATGGCTTCACAGGCACATGTGTCATATGTACAAATGTCCAAGCTCATCAAATTGTATACATTAAATATGTACAAGTTTATTGTATGTCAATTATATCTCAATAAAACTGTTTTTTTAAATCTCCCAATCTGTTATCTATCTTTATAGTCTCTGGAGCCCCTCTTATAAGACAGGCTTATCACACAAAAGCTTGCATGATCTGCCCTCTGCTGCCCTTTCTTCCTTCTCAGTCATTCCTACAGGGACATACACATCACACCCTAGATTAGGATTGCAAACAAACTACTGCTACAGCCTCCCAGGTGGGTAGGAACTGTGATGAAATAGACTCGTCTCACGGAGGTAATGGATACTTCGTTTCAACAGATCATGGAGGGATGCAGGATCTGTCTATTGCCAACTCTCTGACTTTAAGTCAGAAATCCAAATATTCTTATGCCATCTGCTGCTTTTTAAGTCTGGACAATTAAATATACACACAGACAATGAATGCCAAACAAAACATGCCTGCCATCTGAAGTTGGTCCATGCGCTGTCCTTTGCTCTAGCCCATAAGCATATTCAAAATTTTCTTGAAATTCCAAATACAGGAAACATACTTCAGTATTCTGCTCTTTCTGCACAGAATACCCTTCTCATCTTTCTACTCTTACTGGGTTACTTCTGTTTGCACATTTTCCTGGCCCCAGTGCAGGCAAAAGTAATAGTCCTCATTTGAGCCTCATAAATTTATACATCTCTTTGTTGCAGTGCTTAACCACTTTACATTATGGCTACTTGACCCAAGTAGAGCTCCCAAAGGCACCGACGTGTTTCCGGAGGGCATCTTTATGCTGTCAGCATCTAAGAATCTAGTTGAGTACTAAATCCTCTGGAAATGTTTGAAGCTTGTTGATCCTCCATCCACTCTAGGCTCACGACGAGATTGACGGGGCGGTGCAATGACTCCTGATAACCATTAGAGGGCAAGCTGATTCCACAGCAGTTGGAATCCATCCATAGCTAAAGGACTCAGCGGTCAAGTGCCCCCAAAACCTCTCCCCAATTTACGTCGCCACCGGTCATTTCCAACACCATCTCCCACCGCCACCACATACCCCATTTTCAACAATCCTTAAACAAAATACGCATATTTCGTGAGCGTCCCCGAGGTCACACCTCTTCCCCCTTATCCCCCAGTCACCCACTAGCTCTTCTCCCCGCCTTCCTACAACTATCTGGGAACTGAAGAGCTAACTCCATCCTTCCACTAGATCTTTTGTCTCCGCTAATCCGCTAAATCTGGAATTTGGGGAGAAGGGTGGCTCCTAGATGGACTGGGTCACTGGGACCTTGGGCTCACTCACTTTAACGCTTATTTCAAAAACCCGTCACCCTCCCGCCGCACCCCCGGGCACACACAGCCCCCTCCCAGCCACCCCACCCCCACCCCCCACACACACCTTTTCCTGCCACGATCCCAACCCGGCACATCTTTCCCTCTTTCCCAGACCAAACCAGGTAGGAGCGGAGGGAAAAGGTGCGGCGCAAGAGGCCCCTGGCTGCTCCCAAGTAGATCTCTATTTGTCCTCCTTCCATCCCCGCGAGGGAGCCCCTTCTGCGATCCCCGCTTCTCTGAGGGGGAAGGCGTTGGGCAGCCCAGGTGCCGTGAGAGGGTCTACGGGGACCACGCGCGGGCTGCGGGGCGCGCCAATGCCCGCGACTTCGGGGCGGGGAGGAAAGAGTTAAAGATCCAGGACTGGCTCTCCGGTCGCGGGGGCTGGGAGGGGAGCAGCCGGGAGGGAGGGCTCGGAGCTTGGCTCCGGTCCTCCGCAGTCCCCCCCGGACAGCCGGAGACTTGCGCCGGCCGGACGCCCCTCTGGCACACTCCCTGGGACGGCGCTCGCGCACGCATGCAAACACCCACACTCCGCTCTCCCTCCCTCGCGCCCTCTCCCATCCTTCTCCCCGGGCGCCCTCTCACACTCGCCTCTCGCTAACACGCGCGCTCTCACTCCCACCCTGGCCCTCCCCGCCCCGGCGCACCTCTTGGGCGCCCACCTGCTCCGCAGCGCCCTCCGCGCGCCCCTGCGCTCCCGGCCCGGCCCGTCGCAGCTGGTGGGGGCAGCGGGCCCCGGGGTGAGCGCCCCCATCCCGCTCCTCCTCCCTCCCACGGGTCGCGCCCGATGCCCGGGGCTGGCCGCTGAGCCCGAGGGGACCGAGGAGGCCACGGTGGGAGCGCTCGCCCGCCGCGGGGGCCCGCTGAGGCCATGCTGCGCCCCAGGCGCCCCGCAGTCGCTCGCCGGAGCCTGCCTCTGCTTCTGGCGGCGCTGCTGCTGCTCCCGGGCAGCCACGCGGGCAACCTGACGGTGGCCGTGGTTTTGCCGCTGGCCAACACCTCATACCCGTGGGCGTGGGCGCGCGTGGGACCTGCCGTGGAGCTGGCTCTGGCCCGGGTGAAGGCGCGGCCCGACCTGCTGCCCGGCTGGACAGTCCGCACGGTGCTGGGTAGCAGCGAGAACGCGCTGGGCGTGTGCTCCGACACCGCCGCGCCGCTGGCCGCGGTGGACCTCAAGTGGGAGCACGACCCCGCGGTGTTCCTGGGTCCCGGCTGCGTGTACGCCGCCGCGCCGGTGGGGCGCTTCACCGCGCACTGGCGGGTGCCGCTGCTGACCGCGGGCGCGCCGGCGCTGGGCTTCGGGGCCAAGGACGAGTACGCGCTGACCACCCGCGCGGGGCCCAGCCACGCCAAGCTGGGCGACTTCGTGGCGGCGCTGCACCGACGGCTGGGCTGGGAGCGCCGGGCGCTCGTGCTCTACGCCTACCGGCCGGGGGACGACCAGCGCTGCTTCTTCTTAGTGGAGGGGCTGTACATGCGCGTCCGCGACCGCCTCAACATCACGGTGGACCACCTGGAGTTCGCCGAGGGCGACCACGACCACTACACCATGCTGCTGCGCACCGTGCGGCGCAAAGGCCGAGGTGAGAGGCGGGCCCCCGCCCCGGCGCCCGGCCCTGGGCCTGTTCAACCCGGCGTGGGCTCCGGGACTCCCCTCTCCCCGGGCCGGTCGGCCTGCTCCGCGCGGTTCCGCCTTCCCGGCCCAGCCTCCTCGGCCCTTTCCACCGGAGTTTCTCCGTCTCTCTCCATCTCTACCTCCCTCTCTCCCCTCCCCTCTCTTCTCACTTCCCCCACTGCCTCAGCTTCTTCCCACTAGTTCCTCCGCAGTTAACAGGATGGAGAAAATGCCTGCTGCCACCCTGACACCTCGTAGTTCCCCGTGGTGATTCTATCCCGTTTTTTCTCCCCCGTTTTCTGTTTCTTCTCAACAGCCCCTGCCTCCCCCATCTTCTCCTGTTGCTCCCCCAGGCCCTCTGCCCTTCCAGTCCGAGCTCCTGCCGCCCCCCCTTCCCTCTAGACCCCACCTTCCCCACCTGCAGCCCCACTATTCCCACGCTCCCTGGCTCCGCTCCTGCCTCCTCACCCTCCCACCCTTGTCCATCTTTCTCCTGCCGCAGGCCTGGACCCAGCCGGCAGCTATCTATGCAGGGTCCCTGAACTTCCTTGCATGCCCAGATTCCCTACCCAAGGAGCTCCCCCTTCCCACTCCTCCACGACCTAGGCTTCTTTCTCTCTGACCCCCCTTTTCTCCCCAGTTATCTACATCTGCAGCTCCCCAGATGCCTTCAGAACACTGATGCTTCTGGCCCTGGAAGCCGGCCTGAGTGGGGAGGACTATGTTTTCTTCCACCTGGACCTCTTTGGGCAAAGCCTGCAAGGTGCACATGGCCTTGCTCCCCGAAGGCCCTGGGAGAGAGGGGACGGCCAGGATGTCAGTGCCCACCAGGCCTTTCAGGTGAGTGTCCACGTTGGAAGCCCAGGCTGGGGGGCTCTGAATGGTGACACAGAGTTTCTGGGCACTGGGTCCCTCAGTGTCTGACAGGATTTCAGAATAGAGGTCCTTGATGATCACAGAGCCTTAGGTAATGAAGGGCAGCAGTTGCGGCGAGGAGCATTAGAGAGTCAGTGGGCTTCAGAGCCAGGAGACTAAAAAGATGAGAGAATGGGATCAACGTGGGGGGACTTTCAAGTCCGGGAGACTAACAGGACTTGAAGAAGCCATCCCATTGGATCTCCTGCTTTAGAGCAGACAGCACCTCACGCAGGACATGGGGTCCAGTTTGACCCTGAGCTACATAGAGATGCCGCTCTGGGAGGCAGGCCTCAGTGTACTAGGAGGGCTGGGTCAGCTCCCAGCTCTCCCCTCTCCACTGACCCCTTCCTCAGGCTGCCAAAATCCTCACATACAAAGAGCCGGACAACCCTGAGTACTTGGAGTTCCTGCAGCAGCTGAAACATGTGGCCCGCGAGCAGTTCAACTTCACCCTAGAGGATGGCCTGGTAGGAGGGGCCCCGAGACCCTCTGGAGTGGACCTCCGGCCCCCACTCCATGGCCCTCTGCCAATCTCCACCCTGCTGTCAGCAGGGATTCCCTGGTCTCCCCTTCTTTCCCTTCCTGTTGTTCCTGCATCTGTCCTGATGATGGTGAGAGAAATTGACAGGTTTTTCAACCTCTGAAACTCAAGCTCTCATCAGTAAAATGAGGATGACCCCCTTGCTCTATCTGCTTGGCAGGGCTCAGAAGTGGAGACACCTCCCTGCCATATGGGGTGTGCCCTCCCCTCCTCTTCCAAGCGCCCTGTGCCTCCCAATCCACCCCCCACAGCACCCCACTCTGTGCCCTTCAGACCTCCCACCCCAGCCAAGCTCTGCTTGCCCCTGCAGGTGAACACCATCCCTGCGTCCTTCCACGACGGGCTCCTGCTCTATGTCCAGGCAGTGACAGAGACTCTGGCACATGGAGGAGCTGTCACCGACGGGGAGGGCATCACTCAGCGGATGTGGAACCGAAGCTTCCAAGGTCAGGGCCCGGAACTCCTGGCAGCAAAGGGCTGCCTGGGGAGCCCCAAGCAGGAGGCCTTAAAAAACCACAAGCCCTGCAGCTCAGTTGGTCACTTGCCCACACCAGCCTTTCTCTCTCTTTTCTAGAGGAACCTCCAAGCTTCCTTTAGGCCCTTCTTCCCCAACTCCCTAGTTCCATCAAGAAGTCCCCCTAAGTGCTGGTCCCAATCATTCCTGCTGCTGAAATGTCTGCCCATTTTATTATTATTCCATGTATGTGTGTTTGGAGGGCAAGGCAGAGAGGATCAAGAGATGGAGATGAAGTGGGGAGGGGCCCCTGAACTGTCGCTCTCTCAAAACACAGCCATCTCCCCACATGCCCCAGGTGTGACAGGGTACCTTAAGATGGACAGCAATGGAGATCGGGAGACCGACTTCTCCCTCTGGGATATGGATCCTGAGACTGGTGCCTTCAGGGTAAGGTTGTGCCCAAAGACAGTGCCAACTGGCAATGACATCTCGCCTTCCTGCCTCCGGAGCCCCACCTCCCTCCCAGGGCATCTGTCCACCCTGTAGTCACCCTCATATGCTCGGTCACTTATGGAGAGACCCAACCCCAGTGTGGGGGAGCAACCAGAATGACAGGGACTCGGGCACTACCCCACGTCTGAGGAGGGAACCCCGTGTCTGAGAAGGAAGTACAGCTCTGCCCTCAGGAAATCCTGTGTCTCTTAAGGAGGCAGGACCCCCTCCCAGCACAGACAAGCCGGCTCGGGGCCAAGACGAACGCACATTGTACAGCTCTGTAAGTGCAGTCAGGACAGAAAGGGATGGAGGCCACAGGCACCGAGGTGCAGATCATCTAGGGAAGACTTTCTGGAGAAGGGGGTACACGGATTAGGCCTGGGAATGTGGATAAGAATACTGCTTTTTCCTGTTTTCCATGTGCTTCAACCCAAGGTTAGCAACTCCTGGGGTGTAGGGCTGGGGTTCTATGCAGAGTTTTCTTTATAAAAGCCTTGAGTAGTTTTCTAGTTTTTCCACACTGATAACATGGGGCGTGGTTATGAGGGTGCTCTGTATCCACTCCCAGCGGGGGCTTGGCAAACAGCTGAAGCCCAGATTCAGGCCCTGGAAGCAGAGATGGGGTAGGAGGGAGGCAGGGCTGCTTCACTGCGCAGGGGGCCTCACCCCAGGCCCTACCCGCTCACCACTCTGCCCTCCCACAGGTTGTTCTGAACTACAATGGGACTTCCCAAGAGCTGGTAGCCATGTCAGGACACAAGCTGAACTGGCCCTCGGGTTACCCACCTCCTGACATCCCCAAATGTGGCTTTGACAATGAGAACCCCACGTGCAACCAAGGTGACTGCCTTGCCTGCCAGGCCTCTGTTCCGGTGGTGCTACATCCTTCCCCAACCCGGGGAGTCAGATAGGTGCTCCTCCCACACACAGAGGGTTTTCTGGAGAGACAACTCCTGCCTTTTTCTTCCCTTTGTCCATCATTCTAGTTCACTGATTGACTATCAGAAGGTTCTTCCTCCTGCTGTCTAACCCAAATCTCTCTTGCTGCAATTCGGACTCTCTCCTGCAGACCACTTTTCCACCCTGGAGGTGCTGGCTTTGGTGGGCAGCCTCTCCCTGCTTGGCGTTCTGATCGTCTCCTTCTTCATATACAGGTGAGCCTTGGGGTGAAAGTGGTGAGCGAGGCTGGGAGACCTGGAGGACAAACGGCCGAGGAGGTGGTAGGGACCCAAGGGGAGCGGGGCGGGTGGACAGGCAGCAGCGGAAGGCCAAATGAGAGAGGGGAGAAAACAGACTAAAAGCCTTGGGATTACAGGGGAGAGGAGGAGGAGGAGACAGGGCTGGGAGAGGCCAGGGAGAGGGTCGGGGACTGGAGGAGCAGAGCAGCCGAGGGGACGGCATCGCAGGCCTGTGGGCTGGCCCATCCTTCCTTCCTACTTCTTCAGACCAGACGGGAAGCAATGGCTCAAAACCTGTGGGCCTGGCACAACTAGTTGAGCAGCATTGCTGCTGGGCACCAGGTGCTGAAGCCCAAGTGCAGGAGAGAGATAAAGGAGCCCCATTCCTGCCTTGTGGGGGGAGGTTGAAATGAAAATGAATAAGTTAATAGAGGGAACAGGAGGGAGAGAAGAAAACCAATGCTGGTTGAGCAGGTACTATGTGCCAGGCACATACAGTATTTCTTTTCTTTTTTTAAAATTATTACTATCTTTTATTAAAGTATCATTAATATACAATCTTAGGTTGGTTTCAAAAGTACATCACAGTCGTTCAGCAGTCCCTGTGATCATCTTACATTGTGATTGCAAATTATTGTGCCCTTTTATCCCCCTCCCCCCTCTTACCCCCACCCCTATCCCCTCCCCTCCCCCTTGGTAACCACCAGTCCCTTCTCAGTGTCTATGAGTCTACTGCTGTTTTGTTCCCTCTGTTTTGCTTTGTTTTTATAGTCCACAAATAAGTGAAATCATATGCTATTTATCTTTCTCCACCTGGCTTATTTCACTGAACATAATACCCTCTAGGTCCATCCATGTTGTTGCAAATAGCAGGATTTCTTTTCTTTTTATGGCTGAGGAATATTCCATTGTATATATGTACCACAGCTTCTATATACATTCATCTGTTGATGGACACTTAGGTTGCTTCCATATCTTGGCTACTGTAAATAATGTGGCGGTAAACATAGAGGTGCATATGTCTTTTCAAATCAAGAGTTTTGTTTTCTTTGGGTAAATTCCTAGGAGTGGAATTACTAGTTTCACAGTATTTCTTTTTATTCTTATAACAATGCATTGAAATAAATATCAAGGTTCCCAATTTCCAAATGAGGACATTTAGACATAAGGACATGAGATTCCAAGAAATGAAGTGACTACCTGCCCTCCCCAGGGAGACAGAATTCCACCCAAGCCTCCTGAGTCTCAGGAGACAGGATGCTACTCCACATCCATCTCTTAGCCCATGTAGTGGTCCCAGGGCCCTGAGGAGGGGTTGCTGAACACTCCCACCTGGGTCAGGGGCTGAGAAAGGGGCTCAAATTCAGGTTTCATGTCCCAGGAAGATGCAGCTGGAGAAGGAACTGGCCTCAGAGCTGTGGCGGGTGCGTTGGGAGGATGTTCAGCCCAGTAGCCTTGAGAGGCACCTCCGGAGCGCAGGCAGCCGGCTGACCCTGAGTGGGGTAAGTGCCCTGGCTCTGGGGGATATTGGGGAGAGCTGGGTACAGGCCTGGGGCACTGCCTGACATGCAGGGTAGAGATCAGGGTTCTTGTCCCAGCTCTGCCTTCATTTGCTGTGTGATCTTGGGCAAATCACATTCCCTCTCTGAGACTACCCCAGATAATGATTACATTCAGAGCCTCCTTCACAGGGGTCTTTCAAAGGTCAGAGAGAGTATGCGTGAAAATTACATTTAAAAAAATAAATGAAAGGTTCTCATGATGTTAAATGAGAAGCAGGATGACCCGCAGATAAGGCGGGGCAGTGAGGACCAGAGCTCAGGCAACCAGGATGGAGGACTGGGCCCAGGGTGGGGCCCCTGGGCGGACCATCCCTCCTGCTCTCCACCCCTTCAGAGAGGCTCCAATTACGGCTCCCTGCTCACCACCGAGGGCCAGTTCCAAGTCTTTGCCAAGACAGCATATTATAAGGTGTGTCTGGGGAAAGACCACTGGTCCTTGGGACCAGGGAGGGTCCCAGGGGCAGGGATGGGCTGTTGGGAGCAGCCGGAGTTCTCATCCTCACAGTGACGTCTCCATTCCTTGCCCAGGGCAACCTCGTGGCTGTAAAACGGGTGAATCGCAAACGCATTGAGCTGACTCGAAAAGTCCTCTTTGAACTGAAGCATGTAATGTGGGGGAGTTAAGCAGCAGCCTGGGGAAGAGTCCCAGGGGCATGGGGGTGCTGGCCAAGAGAACTGGTTATGGAGGGCAGTGGGGCATGCTAGGAAAGGGTGGGAAGGGCCCCTGCCCCCACTGTGGGTGGCAGTGGGGGATCACGGCAGGGTGACGGCATTGCCAGAGATGTCTTGGAGGCAGGTTCCTGAGGAGCCACACCTGATGCCCCTTGGGGTGGAGGGCTTAGGATGCAGTGAGAGTAGAGAGCAGATTCCGGGGGTGGGTGGGTCTTTAGAACATGGGCGGGAATCCCCAGGGAAGTTACTAGAATGTCTGCAGAGAATGAATAGGCAGTTAAGAAGACTGAGGGGTCCCTGAGGGTGGGGGCAACTTGGTGAGGTTGGAGGATGAAGGGTGAAGGGTGGAGTACCTGTCCGGCTGCTAACGCTGGCTGCCCCCTGCAGATGCGGGATGTGCAGAATGAACACCTGACGAGATTTGTGGGTGCCTGCACCGACCCCCCCAACATCTGTATCCTCACGGAGTACTGTCCTCGTGGGAGCCTGCAGGTGAGGGGACAGGGGGGTGTCAGGACACCTGAGTCTAGCCCTGCCTCTGCCCCTCCTGACCAGTTATCCCAGGCAAGCCTGTCCTCTTTTACTTGCCCCAATTGTAAAGCAGGAGTGGGGGGAGGCTGGTGGTACTAGAATGAACCCCAAGCGTGTCCTGTTCTGCCAGTACACGTGAGGGGGTCCCCTACACTCCTCCTCTGGGGGAGCCTTCGGGGTAGGGAGCTGACTCTCACTGCCCCGACAGGACATTCTGGAGAACGAGAGCATCACCTTGGACTGGATGTTCCGGTATTCTCTCACCAATGACATCGTCAAGGTCAGCCCAGAAGGGCCCCCCGGAAGCACAGGGGAGGGGCTGGACACGCTTCTCCCCTGGCCAGCATTGTAGGCCCTACTCATACCCAGACCCCCTCCTCCCCGAATTTCCCAGGGTATGGTGTTCCTGCACAATGGGGCCATTTGCTCCCACGGCAACCTCAAATCATCCAACTGCGTAGTAGATGGGCGATTTGTACTCAAGATCACGGACTATGGGCTGGAGAGCTTCAGGGACCCAGAGCCAGAGCAAGGCTACACCCTCTACGCCAGTGAGCCCCAACTTTGACTCCTCACACTGACCCCAGCAGGTGGACTGACGCCTGGTCTCTGCTGGGCTTGGGCTCCCCTTTCCTGATTCTGGGTACAGTTCAGTCCCCTGAGTAGGGGGAGTCTGAGGAAGTGGTGTCAAGACCGCCTCCAGCTCTCGCACTTGGTGTGGTGTCTCCAGATCAGTCCCAGTTGCCTCCTCAAAGACCTTGTTTCCCCTCACCCCTTGGCTTTGGGCCTTTCACTGTGTAACTCCTGACTTCTGACCCACAGAAAAGTTATGGACAGCCCCTGAACTGCTGCGAATGGCCTCGCCCCCTGCCCAGGGCTCCCAGGCTGGCGATGTGTACAGCTTTGGGGTCATCCTTCAGGAGATTGCCCTGAGGAGTGGTGTCTTCCATGTGGAAGGTTTGGACCTCAGCCCCAAAGGTGAGAGGACCATACTAGCCCCATCACAGTCCCATCACAGTCTCAACTAACCCCAGCCCCAGAGAGAGGGACCCCTGGGAACACCATCACACCATCCTCTGCTCCATTGCTGCCAGTGACCCTGACACATGACTGGTCCAGTTCCCTGTTGGTCTCCCTGCCCACACCCTAGTCCTGGACTTCCCGCCCTAACTTTCACCAGGCCCTCGGCTGGCCCTGCCCCTCAGCCCCTCTCCGTGTCTCCCCCCACTGCACAGAAATCATTGAGCGTGTGACTCGGGGTGAGCAGCCCCCCTTCCGGCCCTCCCTGGCTCTGCAGAGTCACCTGGAGGAACTGGGGCAGCTGATGCAGCGGTGCTGGGCCGAGGACCCACAGGAGCGGCCGCCCTTCCAGCAGATCCGCCTGATGCTGCGCAAATTTAACAGGTCTCTGGAGTGCATCCCCCAGCCTCCCCTGACCCCCAGTAGCCACCACCAGCAGTGCCAAAGGGAGCCCACTCATGGCCCCCCATACATGGCCTCATCTAGCCTACCCCAGCCTCCCAGTCCCCTCTGTGGATACTGGATGACCCAGCTGCCCCCACCGCCCCCTACTCTCATTCCCCCTCGCCCACCAACACCGCCAGCCACCTCACATCCTTCCTGTGGTGGACTCCCAGCCGAGCCCTTCAATCTCCCTGTCCCAGTGTACCCCACTGGGGCCCAGTTCCTCCAGACACACCCCTCTGCCAGCCTCTATACCCTCACTCTTTTTCAATCGATCCCTGCCCCCTTATGCCTTCTGTCCTCCATTTAACTCAAGTTCAACAGAGATGAACAAAATAGCCAATATGTCTGAAGCTTCAGACTCAACCCTGGGGACTCAGAACTGAACTTGCCTCCTACCCTTTTCTCCGCTGCTCCCATCCTGCTGTGCCCCCAACCCTGGTTCTCTCCAGGGACCCCACTGCAGTTGGGGGTGTGTGCTGACGTTAGCCTGGGGAGGGTGAGTGCCCGGGGGGGCCTTTTGGGGCCAGTGTGTGGCTCCTCGCTCACCCCTGCCCCACACCTGCTGCTTCAGGGAGAACAGCAGCAACATCTTGGACAACCTCCTGTCACGCATGGAGCAGTACGCCAACAACCTGGAGGAGCTGGTGGAGGAGCGGACCCAGGCCTACTTGGAGGAGAAGCGCAAGGCAGAGGCCCTACTCTACCAGATTCTGCCTCAGTGAGTGCCTGTGTCTGGTGACCCCCTGCCACCTCTGTCCTGGCCCCACCTCACCGTCTGATCCTGCACCTGTCCCTGACCCCCAGCTCAGTGGCTGAGCAGCTGAAGCGTGGGGAGACAGTCCAGGCTGAAGCCTTTGACAGCGTTACTATCTACTTCAGTGACATTGTGGGTTTCACAGCCCTGTCAGCGGAGAGCACGCCCATGCAGGTAGGTCAGGGCACAGCCACAGGGGACAGGCAGGTGTGCCTGGCTTGGCCTCTGAATCCCATCAGGCCTGCCTTCTGGCTCTGCTTGTCCCACCTAGGCCCAGGTGGGGTTCTTACTCCCTGCCCCTCTTGGCTTCTCTTCCCTTCCAGGTGGTGACCCTGCTCAATGACCTGTACACTTGCTTTGATGCCGTCATAGACAACTTTGATGTGTACAAGGTAAAGGTGGGGGTAGGGATGGGAAGGGACAGACGGTGGTGGACAGGGTCAGAGAAAGATGAAGGTCAGAATGACAGTTTTAAGAGAAACCAAAGGACATGGGCAAGAGGGGGGTGAGGCTGGCAGATTGCTTGAGAAGGCGGCAGTACAGAATGACAGACGGTGCACACGGTGTGGGGGACTTACACAGGGTAGCAAAAGTGCCAGCCCTCATGTCCTGCACCCTCTTACTGCTCTCACAGGTGGAGACCATCGGCGATGCCTACATGGTGGTGTCGGGGCTCCCGGTGCGGAACGGGCGGCTACATGCCCGCGAGGTGGCCCGCATGGCCCTGGCGCTCCTGGACGCCGTGCGCTCCTTCCGCATCCGCCACAGGCCCCAGGAGCAGCTGCGCTTGCGCATCGGCATCCACACCGGTAAGGCGGAGGGGGAGCCCAGAGGCTGCACTGCGGGAGGGAAGCAGGTCTCTAGGCCCAGCTCGTCCCCAACAGCTTGATAACCATGGAGCACAGACACACGCGCATCTCTGGGTCCCTACCTGCCCGCAGTCCCATCCCCTGCCTTTCCTGGAGGTCTTAGCCCCGCTCCAGGACCAACATCCTTTCCTCCCACCTCCCTCCCTTAACACCCCTCCACCCCTCGGTAATGGGCTTCCCCTTCCTCCAGGCCCCGTGTGTGCCGGTGTGGTAGGACTGAAGATGCCCCGTTACTGTCTCTTTGGGGATACAGTCAACACGGCCTCTAGAATGGAGTCCAACGGGGAAGGTATGGTGGCCTAGATGAGGTGCGGGAGGGCAGGGTGGCTGTGCCCGTCCAATGCCTCTTCTGGCTCCAGGCTCTTCTCCTGGCCCCCTTCTAATGAGGCTTCAACCTGGGCAGCCCTTTACATTTTACCTTGAATCTGATCAGAGACTCAGGTCCCTGCTACGCCTCTTGCCAAATGATTAAAAAGTCTTTCCTGCCAATTTTCAACAGTTCCCAGTAGGAAACCCACCTCTAGGCACCCTCTGCTCCCTCTTGGGTGTGGTAAAGAGGGGCTTCAGAGCAGCCCATTGGGATGTGAATCTCAGCACCACCACCAACCAGCTGTGTGTGAACTGGCTGCACTTTCCTGAGCCCCGCTTTTTCTTATCTGTAAAATGAGAATAAAGTACCTACCTCAGAAGGGTTATGTGAGGAAGTCATATAACATGACCAGCCCCTAATTATTCAATTTTGCTAAGCCTCAGCTGTTTATCTGTAAAATGATGGCTTTAAATTCATAAAGTATTTAAACAGAACCTGGCATGTAGGAAGCACTATATATAGGAAGCACTTTTTTACAGGATTGTAAAAAACCCAGCGCAATGTCTGGCACACAGTAGGTACCATCTAATGAGTGCTTCCTTCTACCTTGTCCCTTGGACTTGCTTCCTTCCTGCTCATCTTCTATCCTTCTATCCTTCTATCCTAAGTCAACAGTTAATTCAGTGGACATTTAGTGAATGAGGCCTGGGGGTACTGAGATGCCCAGATCCACAGTTAGCTGGGGAGTCCACGTGGACCTCATCCAAGCCTCCTGGTGACAGACAGGCTATTTGGGAGCCCAGAGGGGACCTGGTTCATTCCCTGGACACTTGTGTTTGGGGATGTTAGGGTAGGAGAAAGCCTCTCACTGAGGTCCAGTCCTCAAGGAACATATTCTTAGAAATGGTTCAACAACGTAATAAAGCCACTGTGATGCAGACCCCAGAGTTCAGAGAAAAGTCAAAGAAGGGGTGCAGGGAATACCCGGTCAGGAGCCAGGAGGCGTGTGTTTGACCTAAGCTGTTGTGGCAGATCTCCCCAGGCGTCAGTTCCCTCAGCCCTAAGATGACGGTGATGTGTTATTAATAGTGATAGCAACTGCTTACATAGGGCTTCCTGTGTGCCAGGGTCTGTTTAAATACTTAATGAATTTAAATTTAGTCTCACAACAAGGCGTTGAGCATCACGATCAGCATTTTACAGACTAGGACCATGAGGCACAGAGAGTTTATATTACTTCCCCAAGCAAGTGTCCAAGCTGGGGTTCATACTAGGCAGAAAAGGATCTGAGCTCCTAACCATGCCACATACTGTCTGCCCAGTGCCTGGCAACTCTCCACAGTGCTGTCCAATAGAACTTTCTGCACTGATGACAATGCTGTATAATCTGTACTGTTCAATATGGTAGCTTCTGTCTCGGGGCAATTGAGCGCTTAAAATGTGGTCATGCAACTGAAGCACTGAATTTTTAACTGTATTTAGTTTCAATTAAATAGCCACGGGGGATTAGTGGCTACCAAGTTGGACCACGCAGCTCTCGAGTTCTAGGGGAGGGGCCAGTATGGTCCGACACCATTTGGCAGGGGTAGGACTCTGTATGAGGAGGCTTCCCAGGCCAAAAGGAGGGAGGGAGGGAGAGCATCTGTCCACCCCCGCAGTCCCTAATCTTCCCTGCTCCCATTTCTTGCATCCCCATCTTCCTTTTTTCTCTCTCATCCTACCCAGCCCTGAAGATCCATTTGTCTTCTGAGACCAAGGCTGTCCTGGAGGAGTTTGGTGGTTTTGAGCTGGAGCTTCGAGGAGATGTAGAAATGAAGGTAGAGAAGGAAGCCCCAGCTGTCACCACCCTTTGGGGTCCCAGAACAGGTCACCCTCCCCCAGGCCTCTTCTGAAGCAGCCAACCCACACCGTCATTCACCATTCGGCCTCTCATCTGATTTGGTAAGGGGGTGGGCATGCCACTCGTCACCCCAAACTCCTCCTCTTCTTTCCTCTAGGGCAAAGGCAAAGTTCGAACCTATTGGCTCTTGGGTGAGCGGGGGAATAACACCCGAGGCTGACCTGCCTCCCCTCCCGGCCTGCCACATCTCCCTGCCCTATGCCGGAGTTGCCCAGAGGTGCCAGGCCTCAGCCTCACCCAGAGCAGCACTACCGCTGCCCAAAGACTGGGGAAGTGGTTTGAACAGCTCAGGTGTGCTGACCTCTGCGGAGACACCAGATACTACCTCCGAAAGAGACCTGGTGTGGAGGAGAATTCGGAGCTCGCGGGCCTGGACCAAAGCAGTCATGACCAGTGGCACACATGTGGGCACTGCACCCGCTCTGCACCTGGACTCAGGCCAGGCTGGGGTGTGGACTCCTGGATCCTCCGGCCCCTCCCTTTGTCCTCCTTTGTCAACCTTGCTACACTGTGACCTTGGAGGGAATAGGAAAAGGGACTCTAGGTGAATCTTGGGGGTCGAGGGAGTCCACAAAGGGCCAGCCCCCATGGGCCACAAGCGCCACCCCCACCCTCAGCCCTGGGCCCCATCACCACCGTTGGATACAGTGTACAGGAGGGTGGGGTGGCACAGAGGGGCTGCCAGCCTGTATCCCTTGCTTCTCCTGTGAGCAGAGACCATTAAAATCTTCATTCCAGTGACAGTGTCTCTTCTTGAGGAAGAGAGGGCTGACAGAAAACACAGCCGTGTTCTCCACCCTGTACTTCAAGTAAGACGTGTGTCTCAAGCTGGGAATGTATGCAGAATCTGACAAAGGCTGCCCTTCTCTCTTCCACTGAGGAGCCTGTGCAGCAACCTCTGGATGACCCAGTAGTTCTGACACTTTTGGTCTCAGGGCCTGTTTACATCCGTAATAATTACTGAGGGGCTCGAGAGCTTTTGTTTATGCGGGTTATATCTGTTGATATATACCATATTAGAAATTTTTTTAAGTCCTTATTAACTCCCTTAAAATAACTATAATAAACCCATTATATGTTAATGATTTTTACGGCTTTATGAAGGACATTCTTAAGAGGAACTGGCTTTTTTTCCTGCCAATGTGTGGTAATGAAAAATACGATGGCTTATTTGGTGCCACTGCCTTGATGTGTACTCTTCACCAGCAGTTCTACCTCTGTTGCTTTATACCATCGGGCAAATGTCACACCATATGGTACCTTTAGTGCCATCAGGCAAATACTGTATTCGTACGGTTACGAAAATTGTTTCAACCTCATCCATCCTCCGGAAGGGCCTCCCAGGGTCTGCAGACCACAGCAGTTTGAAAACTGCCCTGTTACCCAATGCCTGGCATACAGTAGGAACATGAGTGTGGACTAAATGGAGAGTCCTGGCATCTTTTGACTCAGGAGGCCCAGAAGCCAGGAAAGAGGCACGTGGGTGGGAATGTGTGTATCCCTTCTTACCTCAGTTGAGTTTTGGGGATTGTCCACCAGCCCCTCCATTGCCATGCCAGTGTAGACAAATGTGAGCGTGGTAGTTTGCACAGTGACTCCCAGCTGGGTGAAGGGCTCTCCTTTCCCGGCTCCAGCCGCCCACCCCACCCCCTTCCTGAGCAGGCAGGCAGGAATGCGAGTGAATGTGGGGGAGAGGTGGCTGCAGCTTCACCTCCCCCATGGGGAAGGAAAGTGCCAGACATTTCTTCGTACCATCCATCAAGTGCAGACAGGCCCCTCCTGCGACCTCCCCAAGCCTCTTCCTGGAGTCCACACCCAGTGGGACCTGGAGGTAGGGGTGGACACCAGGGGCCTGGAGGTGCGCCTTCAGAGCCGTGCTCCCTGACACACAAGTGGTGGTCCTGGGGTGAAAAAGGGTGAACCCCTCTCCCTCCTGTGCATGACCCTTCTTGATGCCCTATGCTCCTGGCCCACCCTTTTTGGCATCAGTCAGACTTGATTTATTGGGAGAGGAGCTTCACCTGGCCCAGTCCTCGCCCTCCTCAGCGGGGGGTGAACAGCACTGGGGGATGAACACAGGCCTATCAGACGGACAGTTGCCTGGTAACCACAGCAGACTCAACTTGCTGGTGGGCCCGGGGGTCCTGTTGCCTCCCGCGCCCCAGTCCTTCCCCCCCAGGGTGGTCGGCAGCCCCAGCCAGGGGCGGATGTGCCACCAAGGAGCGCTGCGGCCGGAGGCGCTGGCGCAGGGTGGGGGCTGCCAGGGCCAGGGAGCCCGGCGCTCTGGGGAGGGGAGGCCAAGAGATGCGGTGAGGAAGGGGGTGGGGGGCCCAGTGACCGAGGAGCTCCGGGAAGACAATTCTAGGAAACCGCCGGTCAGATCCTTCCGGGGCAGCCTGGCTCCAGCGCGGGGCGGGCCGCGGGGGCGGTGATTGCAGCGGCCCGAGGACTTTCACTGGAACCGAGAGATTTCCTTCCGGAGGAAGGCCGCCGAGGCAGGAAGAGCCGGGAAAGCCATCACGAAGGCGGGGGAAGCATCGAGGGGAGCCGCAGCCTCCCCCGGGCCCGGAGGCTCCGCCCGCGCGGGAGGGGCAGTCTAGGAGCTGCCCGGGCCGCCCCGCGGGGTAGGCTCGGGAGGGGCGGGGAGCAGCCGGGTTTCCCTGGAGTGTGATAAGGACACTAACAACTGCAGTCATTGGCATCCAGCTGTGCCTTGCAGTTGACAAAGGCTTTCACATACATTAGCTCATCAGCCCACGTGACGCCCTTGGACGAGGGGGCCAGGCATGCAGGAGCGGGGGCAGGAGGGTCCACTGCAGACCTTGTGCTGAGGGAACCCCAGCCCAACAACCAGCCCTGAACAAGGCCCGAGCGTGGGGAAAAAAAAAAAGAGCTGACAGAAGACAAATATCCCCACCCCCAGCCCCTCTTCTCCACGGCATCAAAGATCTTGGGTAATTTATTTGTCATAACAGTACATTCAGTAATAATTTTTTTGTGCATGTGATGATTTATACCTTTCAGGACAGATCTGTGGAATCAAATTAATGGAGGCCAGTTCTGCAGCCTGAAAGTTCATTTTTAATTACATCACCAGAGCTGTAAAAATATCAAAATAAGTAAGTTAGCCATTAAAAAATACCTAACGCCGTCCACGGAGATTTCATCACATTGAGTTGGAACGCAAGTAAGGTTCCAGGGGAGGTGTTTATCACCAAGAGGAAGGATCAGGGTGCTGATGAATTTGGAGCTGTGCACAGCAAAAGCAGGGACGCTGGGAGGAGGAAGAGGCCACTGGGGGCAGGAACCCACTGGACTGTAGTGCTACCCAAGGGTTAGGGAGGGGGTCCAGATAGGACAAACCCCACCCACCCAGTTTTCTAGCACCAGGGAGAGAGTGGCTGGGCTGGCTGCCCTGCAAGAACCTTTCTCTAGTCAATTCCTTCCCCAAGTACATCTGTTCATCCCTGGGGCACCCCTTCTGGACTTGACACAACTGTCCCACTATTACTCCCTGCCCTTGGCTTTCAAACGTAAACCGCATATGGCATACCTTGGCTGTAGATAGGTCCTGTGATGAGGTCGGCCTGTCTTGTCTCAGCCTACCAAATTCCCAGCAGGCTAGAACCAGGCCAAAATACTTCACAGATCTCTGCGTTCAGAACTGAAGCAACTTGAAACCTCTACCAAGCAGAAGGCAATGAGTGAGTGTTGGTTAAGAGGCTGACTCTGGAGACAGCCTGCCTGGATTCAAATGCCAGCTGTGCCCCTCATCACCCATTAACCTTGGGCAAATTCCTTAACTTCTCTAAGCCTCAGTTTCCTGCTTTGAAACAGAGAAATGATCATCGTAAGAGCTACTGTACTGGGTTGTTTAGAGGATTCTGAGAGTTAATTCTTCCTATTACACACTTAGAACGCTGACTGGCAGATGATAAGAACTAAAAAAGTGTTTGCTGGTGTTATTCAGAGTGTACATTACACAAACCATAATGCCAGGTGTAAGGAGTTCCTGATGTCCAGAGAACAGTTGGAGGTGAAATGCAGCACATGATTAGACCCCCTCACTGAGAGGTACCAGTAAGATCTAAAAATCTTACAGTTATAAGAAAAAGTAAAATTTAATGCAGTCCAAATGCCTGTCTGGGGCCAAAATCCTTTTAAAAATATCTGTGTGTTCTCCATATTCTATTGGAAAACTTTCAGGGACTTGGAACTCAGACCATTCTATTTTTGAATGGCTGTAATTAGAATATTCTTCCTGATGTAAGAAGATGGAGGTATTTCAATTGACAGAATTCCTTTTGAGGGAATCATTTTGTTTATGGACAAGGGGGTTTGCCCCTTCAACTGCCATCTAAGGAAGGTACAACTGGCTGGCTGGAGCCTCCTTTGTTTTGCTAAGGTTGAAGCTGAGTTTTTATGTAAATTATGAAGCTCAGGATGAACTAAATCCTCTTGTGTGATAGACGAGAGAAGCAAGGGTAGAGGTATTTCAGTAGCTGAGTTGGGACTTTGGAGATCAGTTATATCTAATAGAGACTTTTTAAAAGACTAATGACCTTATTGTTTACTAGAAATGACTTACATTTATACAAAGAAGTACAGAGAAGAAATTCAAATCACTAAAAATCTGCCATCGAAATAATCATCATTAATGTTTGAGGAAGTTCATTCCAAGGTGAATTATAAATTGATGCTGGGTAATTAATCTAAATTCCCTTTACATTTATAGAAAAGTCAGTCTGCCTTTCACTGTCCCACTGGTTCTGGCACTTCCCTGCCTAGCTATGCAGAAGTCTCCTCTCCTCTCCCAACTACCGTGCCCACACACCGCCCCCTCTGTATTGCATCTCAGCATCATAACTAACTAGTTTGTTGAGCGATTTCTCCATGATCTGACTCCAGACTCTTGACCATTCTGGGTGAGCTCCTGTGGGTTTGCCCTAGTTTGTCTATGTTCCTTTGGCAACCTGCCTCCCTGTCTGGAGCAGAATTGTCCAGGTGTGTCAGGAATACAGACAGCAGGCAGCTGTCACCTCCCTGCGTCTGTCACGCAGTGGGCTTTCATACAACCCTCCTCTCCACCTTGACGGTTTTTCTCACATTGCTGCTATTAATCCAAGCCTCTCCCACCCTGTTCTCTTTTAAATTCTCAAGTGAAAAATATATATTTTGCTAATGATTTCATTCAGAAGATGGGGAAGAGGAGGGTAATGTCACTCAGAGCAAGGTATTTCTATCTAAAATTTGTATTTAAAAACTGCAGGTTTACTGTCTCTTCAAGATCCCTTTCCAACTGGCCCATGGCCAGTGAGGTTCCAGGTTTTGTAGGGCTTGAAACTGATACAGTTTAGTGGGCTCGCTTGAAGAAAAGGAATACCAAATTGATATGAAATATTTAGTTAGAATGTGAAAATAAATTACAACAAATTACAAATTTCAAAAAGCTAGCAAGTATCCAAACATCAAAACCCAGAAAAATAACAGCATCCTTATTAATTACCTGCCTGATGCATGTCTATAATAATACTGCCTACTATTCTTATTGCATATTCTTTGATTACTTTTCACATGACAATGATTTTGTAACATCACTTTCTACGGATGGAATAGAAGGATATTTCAGTCTTTCCTCTTCCAGAGTTGAGTGGAATTTACTTTTTCTTATCTGCAAGTGGAATGCATAAAGCATGCAACTTCATACATAAATTTGCTGTTTGTAATACTGCTGCAGGTTA